TAATTTAGTGTGATGTAGTGAAGGTCATGAACCTTGATTACACAGTGCCATGTTTATTCTCATGTGAATTAAAACGTTGGTTTAACCCCCGTAACCTCATTATCAAGAATTTGAATGTGAGGCCAAGCAGGGGAAATCTATTGGTTTAGTCAACATGGCTGACACGAGATGAAGGCCCATGGTTGATAATGCTGAAGCAAGCACAAATTGCTGCAACATTGCTCACGGAAAACGAAAGATCTGGCCAAGTACGGAGTATCCTTTGCTATAATAAGCGCAAAAACAGATCAATAATTGAAAAAAAAATGAAAAAATCTTTATAAAGAACCGAATATAATTATTATATTCGGTTCTTTATAAGATTTTTTCAATTTTGAATACTTAGACTTTCTTTCGCGCTAGTATGAACTCGGGCATTGAAGTAGGAATGTGCCATGACCAGTTACGCGCCGTGCCGTGACTGTGACGTCAGAAGATTTTAATTTGAATAGTAGAATAGTAGCTATACCGTGCACTGATTGGCTCAACCGAACGTGTCAGACGTTAAGTGATCCCACGATTAGTAGATCACACGATTAGTAGATCCCACGATTAGTAGATCCCACGATTAGTAGATCCTACGAGCAGTACTAAAAATCAGCGGGAAATCATAATCTCGTTCTATCTGCTGACCAGAGAAACACAGGCTGTAGAAGGTTTTTATCGAGCCTTTGCGCATGCGTCGGCATCGCAAATTCGAGGTTACGTTTGCTTCGTTTTCGTGGACGCATGACTTGAACGCGACTTGTCACGAGCGCTAGTATTGTTCAGGAAATGAAGCCTGTATTTTTCGCGCAAAATCCAAACAGTCCACATTCTTTGCAGGAAAAGTTGTTAGTTTTATGGCACGTCTACCGAAAACACATCCTTGGGAATCCAGGGGTAAAATTCTGTCACTCGTTTCTGGGAGCGAAAAAAGACGAGCGACAGATTTTTAGCTCCTGGGTTTCCGAAAACCGACTATTATAGACTACTAACTAATTGTTTAAATCGGTCTCAAGAACAAGTGTCCATTGTTCTAGGCAAATGAGCAGTGTAACTTAGAAACTACTACAGGGTTTGTTCCAGCGAGCAGCACATCAGTCCCTAATTTTCGAAATCCCAAAAGTGTCCACATCATAAAGCGCCCGTAACCTAGAAGTGTTCGTATAACAGAGGTGTCCGGATTATACAGGGTTTGTTCAAGGCCACTTAGCTTTAGCATGTTAACTTTCCTATGCCAAGTAAAAAGAACAAAGTGGACAGAAGAAATGATTATAAGCACGTTTTATAGAATATTCTAGATTTTCCAGGACATTCTTGATTAGTCGTTATAGAAAGTTCTAGTAAGTTAGGATTATAAGATGTCTATTTATAGATTAAGCTTGACTTCTTTATCGTAATTTCTGGAAACTTCTATAATGTAATGTTAGAACATTCTAGAAAGATTGTAAAAGACTATATAAGAAGTTGCTGTAGTGTGTGTTCAGAGTTTATCGTGAATTGTACGTTCGACACAAGTGCGAAGAAAATAAAGTGTTTAAGGGAAAAATTGATCTCAAGGTTTATCGCGAAACCACAAAGTTTTGAATAGGTTGATGTAAGTGTTTGTGTACAAGATTAGCAAAGCAYTTGCTAAACAGAGCGTGACATCGCGCTAATCTCTTAATGAACTCCATACAAAAGCAACCTGTTAGTGATGGCCATATTAACGAGCTTACAGTGTACTGTAAAACTAACTGAGGAACGTTATTAAAACGTTAGAAATAAAGATAGAGCAGCTTTAACTTTACAAACCATTGCATAACCTCTTGACGTTGTAGTAACGGAACACTGGAACAGAAAGTTCGCGGTATTATTCACCTTGACAATTGTAAATTGTCAGATAAGAATCAAACTGTTCACACAAACGATGAACGAAAATTCTGTTCTGCAGCTTTTGTTCAAAAAACAACAAAAGTTCAAATCAATTTAGACTAAATAATTGAAGATAATTCAATACAATGAAAAGATTTGTTTGGAAGAGCCTTGCATTAGCGAGTAGCGTTAAGTTAAAATCATACTTAAGGGGTTTTAAACTGGCCATCTTTGAGGGGGTAAAAGGTCATTCCAGATACTCGTGTTGATCAAACACCGCCCTGTCATTCACAAAACATTCTGGATGAAGAGGAATATAGATTTATTCTTTATTCTACGATTTTCCGAGCAAAATATACACTCAAATAGGCATTACATTAAGATTTTAAGGATCAAAAATAGATAGGACTCGTTTGTTTGGTCACCCAAGTGTCAGTTCATCATTGCTAACTAAAAAAATCTAGTTGGAAATAGTAAGATTCTTCTGTCACTCTGTTCTGTATTGATGAACCAACAAAAATATATGTTCATGGAAAAAATGTTTATACAAGGATCGTGCGTTTTTTCTTCTCCAACATTAAATTACCCTGCCATCACAAAGTCGATCAGTTCGTTGTAGTTTACCTCGCCTTTGGCTACGTCTTCGTGTCCAGCCAAGATGATATCAGCCTCTTCTTCAGTGAGCTTGCTGTCTCCTCTGTTGCACAGTAAAGCACGGAAGTTGCCAGAGTCAATCGTGCCGTGTCCTTCACGATCAAACACTTTTAATCCTTCGAGGAAATCTTCCTTTGCTGGGGGCGTCTTTTTCAAAAATTCGGAGTAAATTGCTAGAAAGGTTTCGATGTCGATTCTCTCCTTCGACTTGTAGTCTTCAACCACCTTTTCGAGATCGCTACCCACTGGGTTGAGGTTCATCGATCGCAACAGCTTCGGAATGTCTTTGTAGTCCAATTTTCCATCGCCTATTTCGTCGAATAATGAAAAAGCATCGTTGATCTCGTCTAGTTTGTCTTTGGGAATATCCGTCATCTTGTATGGTTACGGAAGAAAAACAGCGCGAAAAAAAACCAGCTCTGACCTCTTCAAAGGGTGTGTGTGTGAGTGAGTTATACAACAAACTAGGCAAGGCTCAACCCGCTCTCGGTATTAACAAAACACAACTCAGGGCCCACACATTTAAGTACTCTTATCTATGATTGGCTAAAATGAACCAATCAAATCCATCTTCCCTTTTGGTTTATCCATCGAACAATGCAACATCGCGTACAAAGGACACAGAATTCGATCACTCTCATTACATGCAGACGTCAGAAAAGAATAAACTGTTTTAAAACTAGACGAAAATATAAATCACATAGTTTCCAAAATACTCGAGATAATTTTAAGTATATTAATTAGGACGAACCCAGGTTATTGAAAAAATTATTTAAGTTAGAGTGGGATTGTCTGAAGTGCAGATTCTCACGAAGGCGGTGCGGTTTGTAATAAAGAATTTTTGTCACGAAAACGCTTGCGTGACTGCAGTTTTTTTCTTTTCATTTTTTTGTCTGTTCGTTGTGAGGCATTTTAAATTTCAAAAGAAAAAAGAGTTTTTGTTTTATTTATTCACATATAAAGAGGATTTGAAATTCTTAGGAAAATTAAAAAAAAAAAAAGATTAGTGAATGATGCAACTTTTTTTGAGGGCGCGCGATGAAAGCTTTCACAAATTTCTACAGCAATATGTGTCACGTTTTATCTGTATGTCACGTTCAAAATAGTCTCAATAAACATCTGATACCTTATTTGGATGTTTTATGGTTCTTATGGTTGTCAAAACACTTGTTTTTATTCTTAAAAATGTAAATATATGTGAAGAAACTCAAACATTTTCCTATGTTTCGTATCTGGTCTTATTTTTTGCTTTTATTCCAGAAGCACTCGTCCTACGAAATACAAGATATTTATTCTTATTACACATTTATGGTCGATATCAGTGCGATAAAGCCGTGAATAAAAACCATATCAGTGAAGTGATACGATATCCCTTCACTTTATCGACCCTTGGCTTCAAATATGGAAGTTAAATCATTTTTATTAATAACAGATTCCAGATTGCCAAGGAAATAGTTTTTCTTGCTCAAGTGTTTTCATACATATAGTACTCAGAATTTCCACTCTCCAGTGAAGTGATAAAGGCATTTTCCGCTAAAAACCTATTCTTAGGTACTACAATATCTACTAAAATATCCCTCGTTTGCTGAAATAAGTCCCTCCTTTTATCTGAAAGTTAAGAATTTTCCTACGTTATCCGCCTATTATTTCAAAAAAGGTTGTCGCAAAAAAAAATTAGGCACTTAATGCATGGGTAGTTTTGAAGCCTAGACCATTCGTTTCCATGGTGAAAGTGGCCAGTAGCTACCACTGCTATGATGTATTTCGACTGAGTACAGATAGTAGACAGTTATTTGACTATCGTAGCCTCATGAGGACCTCCGGTCTACAGGCCCGTAGCGGGGGGAGGGGCAGGGGGGCCTGGGYCCCCCCAATAATTTCACAACTTTGAATCCCCACATAAAGCGCAAGTTCACAATATTTTTATTTAAACGTAAACATATTTCGGCGTGTTACACAATATTAGTAACACAATCAACGATAATAACCATAACATGTTAAAATATGTTTTTTTCATGTGTTAGAATATTTAACATTTTCTAACATGTTGATATAACCTAGATTTTTAGAAGTTTATTCAAATAAGTATTAAAAATACAGAGTCCCGTGCAAAATTTGAGGGTTTTGCCCTGTTGAAGCTCAAAACGCGTTACCCTGGGTGCCAGAGGGTAAAAACGCGTATGGCTCTTCAATAAAATCTTGTAGATTTTTCGGCGGTTTTTGAGCACACGCACATTTGAATTGAATGTTCAAAAGTAGCCAGCCACCTTAAACTTGTAGTCGCTTGACAACTAACTGAATAAAACTAGTCATACAATCAGTAATATAGGTTTGAGACCTAGTGATAGTTCTTAAAAGGAATTCAAGCTTCGATCTTCGAGATGGAATACCATTTCTCTAAATGATAGTACAATGTTAACACATGGTTTGAACTGAACGTCGTCATTGTCCATGATATACAACGATGCACTCGTAACATTGTGCAATAATCGAAAAAAHTCCTGCACAGCCATGAGGTGTAAAAAAATTCATGTACAAAATAATGTGCCCAACGCCCCCACCCGACCCCCCTCAAAAATCTAATGGTCCTTCACTTAAAAGCTAAAAGTGATCAAATCTTTCATTCTGGAAATACAGTTCATCATTGCCCACTAAAATCAGCAACTCGTTTTTTTTTTTCTGAAGAGTTTGCATAACTTTAGCTTCAGTAAAATACATGTAAGATACATCATACTTACCAACTTCATGCTGTACACCAGCAAACTCTGTAAATTTTGCTATTATGAAATTGCTGAAAAAGTAATAAATGAAATTCTTTCAGACAATCTTCCAAAAATAAATTCATATAAAGAAGATGAATCATATAGCGCTTAAAACTAAAATTTAACATTGCTAGTTACCTTCGTGCCACTTCATCTTGGGCAAATTCTGGACATTCCTGAAAAAAGCAAAGACAAGAAAGCGTTATTATTTTTTGCGTACTGGCTATTCTCACTACAACCAAACCTTTTTTTTCCAAAAAAAGTTCACATATATAGTTGGCATTTGTAAAGGGTGAAAAAATAAAACAAGACATGCGGATATGGTCATACGGGGCGTGACAAAGCGAGCCCCCCCCCCCCCTAGTTTTACCCCTGCTACGGGCCTGGGTCTATCACGAAATCACGAAATATTAACGAAAACGGTCGTTCATCATCGACGATCCTCTCAACTGTTTATCCAAATTACGAAGAATTCACGAAAGTCCATATTCATCGATCGAGTTCTCTCGACTGTTTTTATCGAATTACGAAGTGCTCACGAAACTTCCGCTGATTGGTTCCGATTGCATTCTATTGTCACTTGCTTTCGGGACGATAAAGTACGTTACGCGCATGCGAACTTTACAAAAAAATCAAACGACACAATGACAAAACAGATCTCCTGGGCTCGGTTGTAAGAAGTGTAAATAGCACCATCAGACGGATAAATCTTATCCACTGGATTAAGTTTTTGGGTAACAGCATCGATTTATCCACTGGATAAGGATTTATCCGTCGCCGAAATAACGCTATACACCCTTCGCGGTACCTCCGGGCTCAGCTGCTGTTTCGAAAACCTATCGCAAGGAACTTTATGGAAGAGATATTTCTGTAACCGCTGCGTCCCTTCCCTGCCTATCCCTAGCTGCTTCCCTCTTCACATCACGGTCTTATTTTACTATAGGTGGGCGTACTGTTTACATACCCAAAATCCAACTTTTGAGCCAAAAACGATTGGATTTAAGAAATATAAAGAAGTTATAACTGTTGATAATATTTATCAATTTGAGAGATGTTGCTTCATTCGTTCAGGAGATATAATAAATTAAAGTTGCTAAATTTTGCAGTAAATGTAGGTTGGTTTGGCAACATCTTGCCAACCAACATACATTTACTGTCAAATTTCACAACGTTAACTTGAAAACCATCAAGAGATTTGTCCTCACATTCTCAGATATCTTCCAAAGCGATAGGATCTTGCCACTTTTGACGTTTGTTTGTTTATTGCTTGAATTTCCAAGAATTTCATGTTCTTGATCAAAACAAATGACGTCATCGTACGCCTACCTATAGCGGTTTTCGTACAAGTAAGAAACAATAAGGCAAATGCATAGTCGCACTATCCGTACCGTAACCGTAACTATGCGTTGTGGGTGGATGGAATACTGAAAAACCATAGGAAGCCATTTCAATGTTACGGTATGTCGTATCGTATACGTGCAGTAAGACACTACCATACGTGCATGTTCCACTCGATTCAGACGAAAATCTTTCTTTAATTTTTTTCTAATCTTCAATTTTAAAAAAACACGCCTTTCGTGGCATCTACTGGAGTTATGCAAAGACCATACATAATCAGACATAACACTCAAGACAGGATATCCTACAGAAATTAACCTGGCAACGCTCTCTTGTTGATAAAAGCCAGGAAAAGGTCAAACCCGCTAAGCTCGCTCAGTGCTTTCGAATCTTACAGGGTTAAAACCTTTTTGACAGAGGTTGATCCAGGTGTGGTAAAAGGGGCGACTAGCCACCCCCCCCCCTTTTTGCTCAAATTTCTCAGTATATCGTTAGTAAGTAGTAAAGTTAGTATCGTTAGTATATCGCATTCCTGGTAAAACCTTTTTAATAGTCACCCCCCTTCTAAAATTCCTGGATCCGCCCCTGTGAAGAGTAGAGCGAGGGTTGGGTATGGGGAAAAACTTTCTCCCTTTTCCCTTTCTTCCTACTTGCTTTTCCTTTGACTCTTCCATTTCTTTTTGTCCTTTTGCTTCTGCGTATTCCCTTCTCCTTTTCGTTTCCTCCCCTTTCTCTCCTTCCCTTCCCGCCATTTTTAACTGCCATCTAATACGTAGCAAATGTACTAAGATTTTATGTGAAAACACGACACTTCCGAAACATATTTTGACAATTTCAACTGTCAGCATTAGTGATAGGAATGAGACGGAAAGCTGAAGTGGTTGGTATATATGCTAATTGAATGAAAAGAAAATAGACCACAAAAAAAAATAATGGCTTACGTTTTTTGACCGCCATTTTTACTGGCAGACATGTTTATCCAGCTAAAAGCTTTGACGTGATAACCTTCGGATTAGAAGTGAAATTCCAAAAAGAATCCGAAATTCCGGTTTTGATGTTGGTATCAAGCCAATAACCCTGACAAAACGTATTATATGTAAATCTCTCGCGACGTTGTACGTGCATTATATACTTGAACCTTGGTCGAAAATAGATGGTAATTAATGTTAAGGCCTATTTACACGACCTGAGTTTGAGCTGATTTTGCCGTATACGTCAAGTCGCGCGCGGCAAATCGTGCCGTGTAAATAGGCCTTTAGTCTTCAAAGTATTGCAACATGCAAATTAACACGAAAAACGAACACTGTTTGAAACTCGAGAAAAAAGAACAGTATTTTTTTTATTTTCTGACACTGACGGTATGCTATTTAAAGGTTAACTAAGTCTGAGCTTAGACATCAATGTCAGATATAAGCCAAAGGTGATTTTTCTTTTCGGTCTTAAACCGTGTGAGGATATCCTGTACTCGTAATGTTGTTGAAATATTTCATCATCTTTGTTGCCACTTCCTACGTTCGCTGATTGGTTCTTTTGTAGTCGTACGTCATTTCATTTTGACGAAAGCCAATAAAGTGTACAAGCCCTGCGTAAACCCTGAAAACTGTATAGTCAAATACTCAGAGCCAACGTCTGGGAGCGTCTTCAACTTTTGGATATCAGCAGAATCCCAATCCCTCAACTAAAGGTTTGCCGATTTCTTTTTTCATAAATCGTTTCTTTTATTCTTTTTTTTTTTTT